TGGCAGTCATACATCCAGGTTGGCCAAGACCACCTTAAAGGCCTTAAAGTGCTTGAACCCCGGGAATTGCTGCTTGCAGCTATATTTATTATTATTATTGTTATTATCATTATTATTGTCTTTTTAATTTAATTTTACAGAACAACAGAAATTACAATAATAACATTTATTAATGTTGACGGAGTTCTTGCTTTTTCTCAACTTTTATTTTGGCAGAAACCCGCAGGAAGACCTCAGTGCTTCTTTTTGTTGACAGCAGATTTCTAAATTATTTTCATTACGAATTTGGTAAGACGTTTGTTGCACGTATCGCTTTGTCACATGCCTTGTAAAAATTCATAAAAATGTTGCAGATTTTCCTCGCGCTTTGGACTTTGAACCCTGGCGCCGCGAGCTCGTGCAACGCTGTTTGAATACCTGCAATTCATGCGTGTATTAGAAAACTTGTGCTGCGTCCCAATGTGCCTACTTATACTACGCCCTTAAAGTATGTACTCTTTTGGTGAAGAAAAAGTAGTGTGTGTGTGTGTGTGTGTGTGTGTGTTTAAGCATGCTGATTGAGTATTAATATACTAGTTTAATAATTTCATTTCTGTGTGTGTGTGTGTGTGTGTCTGTCTGTGAGCCCATTCTCCATATTGGATGTGTTTTACTGTCAGTCATACATCCAGGTTGGCCAAGACCACCTTAAAGGCCTTAAAGTGCTTGAACCCCGGGAATTGCTGCTTGCAGCTATATTTATTATTATTATTGTTATTATCATTATTATTGTCTTTTTAATTTAATTTTACAGAACAACAGAAATTACAATAATAACATTTATTAATGTTGACGGAGTTCTTGCTTTTTCTCAGCTTTTATTTTGGTAGAAACCCGCAGGAAGACCTCAGTGCTTCTTTTTGTTGACAGCAGATTTCTAAATTATTTTCATTACGAATTTGGTAAGACGTTTGTTGCACGTATCGCTTTGTCACATGCCTTGTAAAAATTCATAAAAATGTTGCAGATTTTCCTCGCGCTTTGGACTTTGAACCCTGGCGCCGCGAGCTCGTGCAACGCTGTTTGAATACCTGCAATTCATGCGTGTATTAGAAAACTTGTGCTGCGTCCCAATGTGCCTACTTATACTACGCCCTTAAAGTATGTACTCTTTTGGTGAAGAAAAAGTATTCCACTTCTCATCGGAGACATGCAATGCAATACTAAACAGTCTCTCGCTGTCGGTGCTTGTAATGATTTTTGCGTCTGTCTCAGACACTTTTAAATGCTTTCACACTGCAGACATATTTGCGCTCCTCTGTTTGATCGCGTCACATGATTGTTCGGTACAATTTATTCGGTCTTTTCACTTTTTTTTTGCTATTTTCGGCCAAATAATTTCCGTTGCCGAACATTCGGTGCATCCCTAATCATTTTCTTTTTGTAACACAAAATGAGAAATTTAAGAAAATGTCCTGCTTGTGCTTAGTGACACTGAATGTGACCAGTGACCACCTTCAAGCTTAAAGTATTATAAAATACTCCCAAGTGACCCATGCTGTATATTCCATGTGTTCTGAAGGCACCATAAGGTTAGGTAATAAGCAACCCAGAATTTGGTTTGAAAACAACACTAGGGCTGCTTTTACACTGGCACAAAAATCCGATTTTTGATGTCGGATTCAAGTCGTGTCTTAAGTGTATTATAAATAGGCGGTCCAAAAAATTTGATATGGTTAAAAGATTGGATCTGTGCATCAAGCCTTGCAGTGTAAACAGCCTGGGGGGAGTAAATAGTTTGTTACTTTATATTGCGCTTTATACAACACAAACTCTTATAAAGCAGCTTTACAGTAATAAACGGGAAAATTGCAAAATCAGCATTAAAAACTTCAAATATGAGACGCATTCAAATTCTAGCAGGTCTAAAAAGACAAAAGTGTTATTAATCAGCTCAAGTCAGTTTTGGTTAAGATCAATAACTGTAAAGTTCATCAATTATGGAGCAAGTTCAATTCAGCTGTAACCAGCTTTATAGAAGACATAGGTGTCATTCAGCTCCAGTGTTAATTTTGACAGCAGATTTTGATTTAGTTTTAGTAATAGTCTTTGAACTAAAATGCCATTTAGTTTTAGTCTTGTATTAGTTATCTGAATTGCTTTAGTCTTATTCTAGTTTTAGTCAACTAAATATCACAAGACTTTAGTCGACTAAATCTACAGTAGATTTAGTCAACTAAAATCTAATGGGTTTAGTTACAGTGTAATGCATTTATTAAGCATTTCTCTAAAATTTCCAAAGGCATTATGGAGAAAACATCTGGTAATATGAATGATTTGAACATACAATCAATGTAGACACAGATTTAACTGCTTTGACACGAAACATGTCTTTGTCTCAAAATTAAATAAAACCGCTTTTCATAAAGAAACAAGAACATGGTCCTCTTTTGAAATGCCAAATAAAATACCAATGGTTATATAATATGCATTCTTTATAACAACTTGCATACAACATCCATCCATCCTTCATTCTTTCAAGCATACATATAAATTAAAATTGGATTAATCCTTATTAGGGCTACTAAAGTGATTCATTCAAGAGCAGTGAGTGATTTTTTTTTTTCTTTTGTTGATTCATTAAGAATAAGGACACAGACAACAGCAGCTAAATTAGTCTGTTGTCCCTTTAAAACTGAATGCACATGGATTCAATATACTGGTGCACACATCCGATATTCTCCCAACAGTTTACATTCACTTAAGACGTAACCGGCTGTGTTTATGTGAATACTTATCAAAACTGACAATTTGAGATAATTTTGTGTGTTTTCTCCATTAAGAGAGAACTGAATTCAGTAATAGGGGTCGACCGATATGTGTTTTTCAAGGACGATGCTGATACCGATTATTACAGATCAAGTAGACCGATAACCGATATTTTGAACTGATATATGCATGTCTGGTGTAAAAATGAAAATTAATGTCAAAATTAAGAATAACAAGGGCTCTGACAAAAACTGCCTTCCCTGGTGTTGGTTGAGTGTAGTACTCCCACAGTAAACTCTTTATTTTTTGGCAAACAAAGGGTTTACCATTAAAATTAAAACATGGAAGAAATAGAGTATTGTGTGATTATTCTTTTAAACAAAAGTTGTAATAATTGTTGTAGTAGTCAGGGTTTAAAGCAAAAAAAAAAATCTTTTGACTGAAAAT